TTTTATTTTCCCTATAAACAGGCAGGACAAAGGGGAACTTTCCTTCTAGCTGTGACTAGAAGTACACACGTTTGCTCCATGCTGGGACATTCCAACCATCCCTGTTACACCTGGAAACAGAGAGTGCTGAGTTTCCCTCAGTTTCCAAATGCCAGCAGGTGCAGATGCCCACGAAGGCACCCAGTGCTGCAGTGCCTGGTTCTACACCACTAAAATCCCTCTCAGTGAGACAGAGACTCAAAACCGAGGCAGGATTTGGGGGGGAATTAACATTTTCACCCCTTTGCAGCTCTTGGTGCCTGGCTGGGAGGGAGGTGCTGGAGCAGCAGCACACTGGGCTCTCCCAGGCTCACCAGGGCCACTTTCCAGCCCAGTCCTGGGCCATCAATGCTCCAACCATTTGTGCACTTGATCCTGCAAAGAAAAGCTCATTTCCTTCTCCTTTCCCCAAGCTGGCACTGGTTTTGCTTCTTTTTTTTTTTTTTTTCTCACAGACAGTTCCCAGCAATTATAATTCTCAAACCTCCCCCAAGCAGTCATTAAATCAGCACCTTCTCATATATAATATATACATATATAATATATTTATAATTTATAGAGAAATGACTTCTGTAAACAATATTCCTCTACTCCAGAAGGAAATGGAGTCCAGGCCATAACACAGCTCCAAACACAGCAGCTCTGTGGAGCAGCTGGGAGCCCTGTGCCACCTCCAGCTCTGTTTGTCCCCACTGGGATGGCTCTTGGGTGGGGACACAACGGGCTGGCTCAGTTTGGGTGGCACCACTTTCAGCTGAAGCAAACTGGTCCGACTGTGAAACCAAACTGGTGCGAGGCGTCGCCGTTGTGGAACACAGCCAGGTCCCGCAGGGGCAGCAGCCACAGCTCCTCCGTGCTGAACTGGAAGATGGTGTCGGCGATGGAGGACTCGTTGTCCAGCTGAAATAACCACCAGGGACAGCTGAGTGCCACCAAACCCCTCAGCTGAGGGCCTGGAGCTCCCTTGGCTCCATCCCCAGCCTCTCCTGGCATTTCCAAGCTGGTTCCTCCCCCTTGTCACATCCCCAGAGCAGG